GCGTTTCTTTCGGAGGCTCTGGGGAGGATGTGTTCTTTGGCTTTTCCAGCTTCCCCAAGCCGCCTGCATTCCTCGGCTCGTGGCCCCTTCCTCCATCGCAAAGCCTGCAGCACAGCATCTTCTCTCCTCTCTGACATCTTCTATCATCACATCTTTTTCTTTTTTAAAATTGAGATAAAGGTCACCATTTGAAAGGGTACCACTCAGTGGCTTTGAAGAGATTCACAATGTTTTGGGGTTAATTTAATTTTTTCAGGAATAAGGTGGGGAGGGAAAGACACCAACTGGATGGTCTCCACAGTGTTTTGTAATCACCACTACTACCTAATTCCGAAACATCTTCATCACCCTCTAAAGAAACCCCGTACCCATTAAGCAGTTACTTCCCATTCTCCCTTTCCCCCAGCCATTATCATGAATAATGCTGCTTGAGCATTTATTGTACAAGTTTTTGTTTAAACACTTGCTTTCAGTGACCTTGGCCATATACCAAGGAATGGGTTTTCTGGGTCATGTGGTAATTCTATGTTTACTTTTTTGAGGGTCCACCAAAACCTTTCCACAGTGGCTGCACCATTTTACTTTCTCACCAGAGTGTATGAGGATTCCAGTTTCTTCAAATACTTGCCAATGCTGGTTCTTTTATAGCCATCCTAGTGGTGTGAAATGGCATTCTGGACAATTTAAAAATATTTTAAAAGATATATGGGCATTCCACTCTTTAGTTCTTTTTTTTTTTTTTGCTTTCTGTTCTCAGTGTTTACAAATTAATAAAAATAGCCCTTATTCATTTGACATCTACCATGTGTTAGGAGCTATGTTCAGCTTTTCATTTACATGAATTGTCTCATTCAGATGCCCTTGATTGCACCACTAACCCAGATTCCTATGCATAAACAATCTGGAAGGTAATTATAAAGGTGAGGCTGAGAGTAGGCATGTCCCTTTAAGGAAGCTTGAAATAGGAAGAAACAAATTTTCTTTTTTTTTTTTATGAATTTTTATTTATTTTTTTGTTACAGATATTTTACCTTTTTACCCCATTGGCACCCCCCCACCCCACTCCACCTCCGCCCCGTCCCCGGCTTAGTTGTCCATGTCCATTGGTCATGCATACATGCATATAAGTTCTGTGGTTTATTTCTTTCCACCCCCACCCCCTCTTCTGAGGGATGTCAGTCTGTGCCCTACTTCCATGTTTCTGGGTCTACTGTATTCCTCAGACTGTTATGTTCATTATATTCCGTATATAAGTGAGATCATGTGGTATTTGTCTTTTTCTGCTTGGCTTCTTTCACTTAGGATAATACTTTCCAGGTCCCTCCATGTCGTCTCAAAGGATAAGAGATCTTTCTTTCTTACCGCTGCATAGTACTCCATTGTGTATATGTACCACTGCTTTTTTATCCATTCGTCTACTGGTGGACACTTGGGCTGGGAAGAAACAAATTTTCGAAGTCATGTAGTTTTGGAAATAATAATGCTTATTATAGAAGGAAATTCTGTTTGTAGAAGGATTCACCCCAGGGTTCCATTAAATAGCAAGCTTCCCTGATTCGTTGAACATGAAGTTCAATGTACTAAACCTGAAGAATGGATAATTATTTCAGGAGGTTATCTGTTATGTTATATGAAGCAGACCTACCCACTTATTTGCTCACTAGGCCTTCCTCTCAAGTCCTATTCAGCATAAGCAAATGAGAGTATGCTCAATAAGACTCATGAGGTAAGAACAGAAACATATCCACTGCTTTTGGTAATCAGGAAGTCCCTGCTCATCTTTCAAAGAACAGTTTCTACACTGGGTGGGAAATGGCAGAGCAATGCAGCGTTGAAGGTAGAACCAAAGACACGTTTGTTTGGGGATGGAATTACGAAATCAATAGAAAGAGTAGAACTAAAGATAAATAATTTTTTCAAAAAGGTTAAATAAGACAAGAAGGGGAGTAGAGAGGATATAAGAGAAGGAATAGTTGGGTTTATTTTTTTCAGGAAGAAAGAGAACTAACCATACTTTGTAGACTCAGGGAGTAGAGCTGGATGAGGAGATGTTGAATATATGAAGAGAAGGTATAATTAATTGATGATGACATCTGCATCATAGTGAACTAGTGGGCCCAGGACACAGAGGGAATAGTTAGCTCTGGGGAGGGATATGCTGCCCACAGGACCTGAGGAATGGAGGTGAGGGTGGTGCCCAGTAGATGGGTTTCTGTGGAGGAAGCAAAATGGTTAGGGAATTTCCATGTGCCACCCTTACCCTGGTTCCTTCTTCAGAGAGATGGTAATCTGCTTAGCACGAAAGGTGAGCAGTTGAGTTAGGGTTTCAGGAGGATGGTTGTCTAAGGAAATGAGAGAAGAGTAGATCAGAATAAAGGACTTATCCTAAAGGACAGCCGTACCCTGTCAAGCAGCTTCCCCGACGCCAGGACATCGGGCTGGGTGGCCTCCGTGTCTGACCCAGTCGTGCATCTCTAACACTCTGCCCAAGGGCAGGCGCTGCTGGGATCTGACGTGGACGTATCCCCGCGTGGCTCCGTCATTCTATTTCTGACTTTTCTCCCCTCTCTCCCTTTCCACTGTGCCCTCCAAAACTCCTTCTTTGGCCCTGGCCAGTTTGGCTCAGCAGTTAAAGTGTCGGCTTATGGACCAAAGAGTCATGGGTTTGATTTCGGTCAAAGGGTACCTACCTCAGTTGTGGTTTGGTCCTGGCTCTGGTCAGGTCATGCAGGAGGCAACCAATCGATGTGTCTCTCTCACATCGATGTTTCTCTCTCTCTCTCTCTCTCTCTCTCTCCCCCCCCGCCCCATTCTGTCTGAAGATGGATAGAAAAGTATCCTCAGGGAGGATTAAAAAAATAAAATAAAACTCCTTCTCTGTTAAAAAGAAGTCCCTCAATTCTTAGCCTTATCTCTGAACACTCCCACCGTCTCAAGATTTCACTAAACACTGGCTGCCCCTGCACATTAGTCGTCCCCGGAGGTTGCTGCCACTCCTGCAGCCCAACAATGCAAACTTCTGTCCGGTGTCTACTCAGTGGCAGGAACTGTTTGAAGCACAGTCAGCCTCATAGCTAATTTAATCCTCATGAGACCGGTACTATTGTTATCTGTTTTCCACAGATGAGAAAACTGAGGTACCAAGAGATTATAGAACTTGACCAGTGTCAGAAAGCTTGGCAGAGGTGAAAGGTGATCCCAGGAGAAGTAAAACATACTGACTTTGCAAAGCTTTTTCAAGTTGAGGCTGTTGCATTCATACACACCCCAAGTACTTCATTTTCAGGGGTGCTGGTGTTGCCAGTTTCTAAGTCTTACAAAGGTTTCGTGTTATCAATCTGGGTTGCTTCTTGTCTTTCCCACTCCAAATGGCTTAGTATTCCACTTTTTTGGGTTGGCTAAGTCCTTGTTGCTGTATCTTATTTCTGTTGTTGATTTTGGGGGGAGGTGCGGTGTGGGGTTGTTTGTTGTTGTTGTTTTTTGTTCTTGAGGGTTTATAACTTAAAAGAAAAAGTCTCTTTATGGTCATATTATGGAACTGGAAGAGGTTGTGGGCTTAAATGCCTGTTCCAATTTTTTTGCATCCTCACACATCCTTGTTTTCTCCTTTACTTTTTTAAAAAGTATTTATTTTAAAAAATGATTTTAAGAGAGAGAGGAAGGAAGAGAGAGAGAAACATTGATGTGAGAGAGAGACACTGAATGGTCACCTCCTGCATGCCCCCTACTCGAGCCCGAAACCCAGGCATGTGCCCTGACGGGGAATCGAACCAGCAACCTGTTGGCGTATGGGACAATGCCCAACCAACTGAGCCACACCAGCCAGGGCCTTTCCTTCCTTTTTTTCTTTTTTATTATGGCCACTCTAGTGGGTGTGAAGGGGTATCTCACTGTGGTTTTGTTTGTTCTTCCCTAATGACTAATTATGTTGAGCATCTTTTTATTGCTTATTGGGCCATTTATTTATCTTGTTTGGAGAAATATTGACCAGATCATTTGCCCATTTTAAAAAATATGTTTTTATTGATTTTTTTTTTTTTAGAGAGGAAGGGAGAGAGAAAGAAACATGGATCGGCTGCCTCCCACACGCCCCCTACAGGAGATTGAGCCTGAAACTCGGGCATGTGCCCTGACAGGGAATCAGATTGGGACCTCTCAGTCCATGGGATCTGCTGAGCCACGTCAGCTGGGTGATCATTTGCCTATTTTTAATATAAATGCTCTTTTAATATTTCATAACAAGTACATTTCAAATTATGTATTAGCAAATACTCTCTTCCTTGTGGTAGCAGTAAAGAGGAAGCCTTTAATCAAACATTTGATCAAGCTACTTATACAGAAACAGGTTAAAGCTCAAGAGACTTGAGTAGCCAGGTACTTTGATACTGCCCACAGCATTGGCTCAAAGTAAATGTGATAGAGAAATATGTTTGTGTAAGGGAAGTAAAGGAAGTTACATTTTAAAGAACTTTTTAGTGTAAACCTAAACAAGCAAAAAAGGCAGAGGGAAAGGTATTTTTTAAATTACACAGGTTTGCCTAATGTACTTATTTCTCCATCCACCAAGTTCTTTCACCCCTTGAACTGGGAGTAGAATCTCATTATGTTTAAATACGTTTCTGTGTGGTTGCTGTCGTCTACCTTCTTTCCTTAGACTTTTATCTTGTCCTGATTTTCCGTTCTGTCATCTGCGCTTCAAGCAGTGCAAGGATCACTCACTGTCAGGTTTAGTGGTGAGCACTGACTGGCTGCTCTCTGTTTTCCAGAAACCTGCTCCAGTGTGGTGTTTCTTGCATTTTAAAATTGACAGGGTGGTTTTGATTGATTTTATTTATATTTCTCAAAAATGTTTATGCTAATGACCAACTACTTAAAGATCTGACTGATTAAGAAACACTGTTCTTGGGTAGATGGGTCATAGGAATGATTTGCTAGCCCGGTGGTTTTTCTTTGCACCATTTTATCAATTGCTCTGAATATTTTTCTTCGTGTCTTCACAGCCGCTTCCTGAGAAGTTTGTGGTGAAAGGTGTTGTGGATCGTTTTTCAGAAGAGTTTGTGGAGACCAGAAGAAAAGCTTTGGATAAATTCCTGAAAAGGATCACGGATCATCCTGTACTTTCTTTCAATGAACACTTTAATGTTTTCCTTACTGCTAAGGTAACGACAGCATTTTCATGATTCTTTCCCCCAAATCAGCATTCTCTGAGCTCTTTCTCAAAAGTTGTTTTCAGCCCTGGCCGGTTTGGCTCAGCGGTTAGAGCGTCAGCCTGCGGTCCACAGAGACCCGGGTTCGGTTCCCGCTAAGGGCATGTACCTTGGCTGCAGTTTGTCCCCGGCCCTGGTTGGGTCGTGTGGGTGGCGGCCACTCGATGTGTCCCTTTCACATCGATGTTTCTCTCTCTTCCTCTCTCTCCTTCCCACTCTATCTGAGTAAAAAATGGAAAAATGTCCTCGGGTAAGGATGAAAAAAAAAAAAAAAAGTTGTTTTCATCTCTCACAAGCCACCTTCATGGAACTGCCCTGTGTTTTTGGAGCCCATTTGCATCAGCGTGGTTAGTGCGTCAGGATTTAGGAGAAACAGCCCTTGCAGCAGCAGAGGAAGTGCGAATATTTTCACTTGCCCAAAGCAGGGATAAGTGTTTCTTTAAACACTTCTTGGCACATTACTGGGTGAGGCCATTCTGGCCGACAGTGGGCGCGCAAGGGTCCGAACATTTGCTGAGTGTTTGGTAAGGTGTTGTTCACAAAAGCGCTGTGTGTGTTTATCGTACCCCATTTATAGGCAAGGAAACTGCAGTTTGGGGAGTTTGTACGTGTTCAGTGGTGTCACTGGGATTTGAAATTGGGTCTTTGTGGCCCTCGAGGCTGCCCTTTATCTCTGTAACAGACTTCCTGGCCAAGAGCAGTTCAGCACTACATGCTCACAGTCAAATTTCTGATCAGGGGGGCATTTTCCAAGCCTTTGCCAGAGAAATAGTTGGGTTCTCCCCAGGTACCAAGTTCTGTGTATTCAAATTCAACTCGGCGACTCACCGGCTTCGCTCCGCACTTCCCCGTTGGCAGAGCTGGCCCGCTCACCGCGGCGGCGCTCCAGTCCACTCGTCTGCAGAAACGGGGTCTCACGCCAGCTGCCTTCCAGCTCCTTCTGTTTGCTCTCACGTGTCACATTCCCATGTTCAGAAATAGGTCGTTTTTCCCATGGGGCAAGCGTATTGAGGCCCAGGTACTTTCCGGCTTTCTTTTTTGAAATGGCAACATTGAGAAATGTTACAGCCTGGCTGGTGTGGCTGAGTGGTTGAGCATTGACCCATGCACCAAGAGGTTACCAGTTCGATTCCGGTCAGGGCACATGCCCAGGTCATGGGCTCAATCCCCAGTGGGGGGTGTGCAGGAGGCAGCTGATCGATGTCTCTCTCTCATCAGTGTTTCTATCTCTCTTTCCTCTCTTCCTCTCTCTCTAAAAATCAATAAAAACATATTTTTAAAAAAGAGAGAAATATTTACAGATAACATCAGTCGACATTAATGCCTTTAGGGGAGGTGCCATTCCAGACAGTGGCAATCACAGGGCAGAGTCCTTGAGTGTTTGAGGTTTTTCGTTCTGTTTTTGAACCTCGGCTGGCATCAGGCCTCATCAGTGACATTCCCATCATCTTCTCCTTTTCCGGGAGGCCTTTGCCCTGATGGGTCAGACTTGTGTTATTTTTTAAAAAGTATTTCCTGATGAACTGATCCTTGGATATAGTTCTTTCAGCTTACATACGAAGTAAAATCCACCGTGTTCTCCAAAAGGTACAACTCATTGATTCACCCAAATTATAAGTCCAGGGGCCAGGCAGGCCTCAAGCTTAATCACTTTAGTTATACAGAGAGACAAAAGGAGGAAAAAACTTGGACCCCTTGTGATTAGGAATCTGTGTGACGAATAAATAGGAAGATTGTGTGTGTGTGTGTGTGTGTGTGTGTGTGTGTAATTTATCTGTGGGCCAAGCATTATGGAATGATTTTTTAAAATAGTCCTTCAATGTCTTAATCAAAATCCAAATTCATGTGTGAGTAAAGGGAGTTGGCTTATTTAGGCAGAACAAAGTGTAGCCATAATTCAATGTTACTTGTTGAACTTAAATGCACTAAATAACCCCATCTTTTCCTTTTATCTTTTTAAATAACATAAAATTTACTGTCTTAGCCATTGTGAAAATGTACAGTTCTTTAGTGTTAAGTATATTCACATTGTTGTACAGCTAACCTCCAGAATTTCTTCATCTTGAGAAGCGAAACACTCTACACGTTAAAGAACAAGTCCCCATGTCTTCATCCCTCCTCCCCCCAGCTCCCCATCTTTTTTTTTCTAAATATTTTTTCTTTATTGATTTTAGAGAGAGAAAGGGAGAGGGAGAGAGAGAAACATCGATGAGAAAGAACATGGATTGTCCGCTTCCTGCATGTCCCCCCCTGGGGATCGGGCCCCCAACCTGGGCATGTGCCCTGACCAGGAATGGAACTGGCGACCTTTTAGTGCATGGGTCGACGCTCAGCCACTGAGCCACACCGGCCGGGCTCCCCATCTTTTCTTTTAACACACCTCGAAAAACTTGGTCTTGTTCTTAAATTACCCACTTACATGCTCTGCCACAGTGAGTGCAGACGCATTCTTCTCCGTGTGAGGACATGATCTATCACTAACCAGCAGCATCTTGAAGCAACAGCGCGGAATGCTGGGGGAGGCCGGGGACGGCCAGTGTCGACTCTGTTCAAACCAGTGTTTTCGTCTTGCAGAGTGGGTGCAGCAGTCAGGTCCTGTAAATAACTATTCGACGCGTTGACTAACCCTTTCAGAGCTCTACCCGAAGTGGAGCGTAAGCGGTCCAAGGATCTAGCCCGGCTCCAAAAAATATTGCCTACGGAAGCAGCTCTGGGAATTCCAAGGCTTCACTTACAGCCTCGAGAAAGCCTGTGCTTATGAGGATCTTGTTTGTTTAAAACATATGAGGTTAGAAGGGGAAATGGAATCTTTAGAACATTCCCTCAAGCAGCCTAACTGAAAAGGAGAGAAGTGGAGGAGGAGGAAGGGGACTAGAGGTGACTTCCGCTGTTTTTTAAAAATAGATATATATTTTTAAAATATGTTTTTATTGACGTTTTAGAGAGCAAGGAAGGGAGAGAAAGAAACATCGATTGGCTGCCTCCTGCACACCCACTACTGGGGACCGAGTCCACAACCCGGGAGTTGAACTGGGACCTCTCAGCCCACGGGCCGATGCTCAGTCCACTGAGCCACACCGGCCAGGCAGACTTGGCTGCTTTTAGGATGGGCGAGCCTTGGGTATAGTTTACATGCTGAAGGATTAGAAGTTGAAAACACAGACAGGGGAGGGGAGGGTTGATAGGGCAAGGGCCCTGGCCGGGGCGAGGCGGATAGGAGAGGGTGGAATCAAGAGCAGGGTGAAGGCCCTGACTGCATGGAGGAGGAGAAGGAAGTGGACCAGGCGGAGACCCTTATGGAGACCTGAGCCCATGTTTGTGTCATATGCGGGGGAGGGGGGCTGTTGGACAGCTGTGTTAACCACGATTCCCTGTCCTCTGCCTGTCCCTACCTCAGGCTGTGTCACCAGAAAGCACTGGCCGTGTGTCATGTCCCCTCTTCTCCCTGTAGACATGTGCTTCTAGGACTAGGAGCCAGTTCTGTTTGCACTGAGGGTGGTTAGAAGGACCAGACGGCACCGTCTACAAACCGTTGTGCAGGTGCTGTCAGTCCCTCCAGCGTTCAGCGCTGGGAAGAAGCGTGTTTCGCCTGGTAAACTTGGGGGCAGCGGGTGGTGCCGCTCACCGTAGTTCCCAGAGTTGTCTCGTCACCGCAGCTGCCCTGGCCCTGAGCTGTCCACTCCGGCTTCTCTGCCTCCCTGTCCAGCTTCCCACCCTTTACTCTCTACTTTTCTTATTTGGCTTTGGTTAACATGTAAATAATGAATGGAATGGATCTCAGCCCTTGACTTTTTGGTTCTACAGACAATTTAGGATATTTTGCAAGGGAGAAAGAAACTTTTTGTTTTGGTCAAAAGTTTTTTTAAATTATGTTGGAAGCATAGTGTTGTTTAAAGGAGAGCACGCTCGGGTGAGTGCGCCTGGTTAGAAAGGTGGGCTGTGAGCAGGGTGTGGTGACAGCGAGGAGAGGACACTTTGTGTGTGGTGAGGTCCTCCACCTACGCTCCTTATTTTCTGAGTCCTCCGCTTCCAGAAAGCAACTGCCTGAAGGAGTTGGGTTACCGAGTGCTGGCCAGTGTGAGTGATCGAGCCCTCTGAGTTGGTTTGTTCATGTGTCATCCTTAGGACCTGAATGCCTACAAGAAGCAAGGGATGGCGCTGCTCACCAGAGTGGGCGAGTCGGTCAAGCACGTCACCGGAGGCTACAAGCTGAGGAGTCGGCCTCTGGAGTTTGCAGCCATAGGCGAATACTTAGACACGTTTGCACTCAAACTGGGAACCATCGATCGGATAGCCCAGCGGATCATCAAAGAAGAAATAGGTGAGCTCTTGGTTGCGATTTTAATGGTGCCCAGGGACCACATTTGCAGAAATGGCCTTCCAGTGTGCTAAGTAGAAGCAGACTGCAGAAGAGCTGGAGTGACGGAACTGGGCCGCGTTTGCTATGAAACAACAAACACAAGGAGGCCAGGAGGCAGCTGGACCAGAGTGTAATCTGCTCCCTCCTCCACCCTGCATTTCAGCCCTGTGGTTGCTTTCCCCAGGGCAAACCACATCTGAGCGTGGAGGCTTCCTGCTCTCTTCACTGGAACTTCAGAAGTGGAGACATTGACGAAACCTCCCTTCACTGATAGCAATGATCATTTAAAAGACAAACCTGGGGCCTGGCAGGTGTGGCTCAGTGGATGGAGCTTTGCCTTATGCACCAAGAGGTTACTGGTTTGATTCCCGGTCAGGGCACATGCCCGGGTTGCAGGCTTGGTCCCCAGTAGGAGGTGTACAGGAGGCAGCTGATTGAGGTTTCTCTCTCCCTCTCCCTTCTTCTCTGTCTAAAAAGAAAGAAAGAAAGAAAATCAATAAAATCATATTTGAAAAAAAAACCCCACAAATGTGGGCATCTTTTCTGGCGGAAAAGGACAGCATGGTGACCTGTGGTTGCCAAAGTTAGGGTCCCAAAGAGCCCTCAACGTGAAGTTGACTCACCTGCCCTACACCTGCTGCATTTCAAACCCACTCTTCCTGACCTGGGGAGCTACGAGGCTTTTCTCCGTTCTTCCTGGTTGTTGCCGCCACCTCCTCCCCACCTTTTGGCCACTTGCTTTTCTGTACCCTAGAATGTTGGGGCCTTTGGTCTTCTTGCACACACGTGAGCCAGACAGAGCTGAACAGTGCTCTGGAACCTGCTGGCACGTGATGTGAAATATTGAAAAGAATTTTCCAATCGTTTCCACCCATTGGTTACTAAAAAAATAGCAGTGACTTATTGTCGTGGCAAGAGTCCTGGTGACAAATGGTGGACCATTTTCTTTGTGAGAGGAAAACACACTTTCTCTTGTTTCTCATGCTTTAATTCTTCTTTACCCACTGACGGCATGATGTGGGGCCTGCCGATTTCGGAGCTAGCTTTAGGTACCATCTACACCCAAAGGCCAGGTGTTTGGGTGACCCCCGAGTGAGAGACTGAGTCAGCCTAGGTAAGGCCACATCTCCTGTATCAAATATTTCCTAAAATTCCATTATTTTTCCATTGTGACTGATTTTTTTTTTTAAACATCCCCTAAGTCTATAGGAAACTCTGCCACCATTGTTAAAATACTGCTTCACTGTGTGGGTAGAAGAGAGGTTAATTTTGAAGGTATTTGGTAGCTCCTACCATTTCCCCCCAGAAGGCATCGTGACCCCCATTACCCAGAGGCATGGCATTCTCATTATGGGGTGCAGTTGGTTGCAACATCAGCTTTTAGAGATTTAAAAAAATTGTTATAAGCAGTGTTTAAAGGGCAGCATGCTTAGGTGGATGAGTGGATGAGGAAACACACCTTCATGTAGAGAGCTCTCGGCTGCAGTGGTCCTTGAGAGGCGATACCAGTAATTGCTGCCCAGCCAGAGCTTGTTGGCTTCTCTTCCCACTTTAGAGTACCTTGTGGAGCTGAGAGAATATGGGCCTGTGTACTCCACGTGGAGCGCGTTGGAAGGGGAGCTGGCCGAACCCCTGGAGGGTGTGTCGGCATGCATTGGCAACTGCTCCACAGCCTTGGAAGAGCTGACAGATGACATGACAGAAGACTTCCTGCCTGTGCTCAGGGAATACATCTTATACTCTGACTCCATGAAGGTAAGCTGGCTCACGTCTTGTGTACTTTCTTTGTTGTAGTTATTCTCCAAAAAGTAATTGATTATTGCCTGTTTGCACGTGGTACAGGTTCCCTTTATCCTGGGTAGCCAGGATCAGACATGTGGACTGACATCATGGACACACAAACACTTAGTGAACCAAGCACGCAAATTAAGAGAGAAAAAAATAGTTTGAAAGAAATTCTTATTAGTGTTCACTGAGAGTTCAAGGGGGTGTAAAGTCTTCGTACTAAACAAGAACAGGATGTTGTGGAAAAAGAAAAATGGAATAATTAATGCTTTAAGAAGTTAATATATGATTGCTGAAATAAAATTGAAGAGTAAAGTTGGAAGTTGAGGATGAAAAAATCTTGGAAAGTAAAACAAAGTTATTGGAAAGTAGAACAAAAGTGCAAAAATACTGAAAATGTGAAGGAATGGTAAGAAGGATTAGACTCAGAGGTTCAGCATATCTGACTGATCAGAATTTCTGATGGAAAGAACAGTGAAACTGAGGGAAGGAAATTATGAAAGATATAATAATATAAAATCTTCCAAAGCTGAGGAACATGAGTCTTCAGATTAAAAGGACTTTTCTCCCCCCCCCCCCACACGAGGACATTTTTGCATGTATCTTCAGATAGAGCGGGAGAGAGAGAGGGAGGAAGAGAGAGAAACATCGGTTAGAGAGACACATCAAGTGGTTGCCACCCACACCACCCCAACCGGGGCCAGGGACAAATGGCAACCGAGGTACGTGCCCTTAGCGGGAACCGAACCCAGGACTCTCTGGTCTGCTGGCCGACGCTCTTAACTGCTGAACCTAACTGGCCAGGGCTAAAAGGACATTTTCATTACCCAGCAAAAGGAATGAACAGAGAACCAACCCAAAGCATATAATTGTAATGTTTTAGAATAAAGGTGATAAGGATGAAATATAAGATCAGATACGTCTAAGCCCACACTGGCAACGGCCCCAGCCTGTACTTGGGCTGGTCGGAGAGCATAGCTGCTGGGGACGCCTACGACGGGGACACTGGCTAGGGGAAGGGTCAGCTTCCTGACCAACAGGGGAGCTGTGGCTCAGTGTTGAGCATCTCTGCCTTCAAGCAGCTCCCTTTCTACTTCCAAAGGAGACCTCTGTGGGTAGGGTCTGACTAATCTCGAGAGAGAAACCTGTCGGCCAACTTCGGTTGTAAAAATGGAAACCAGAAAAATCTTGCTCTGTGAGAGGGAGTGAAAAGAGAAATGAATCAGCTAGTTATAAAAGTTTCACTATGGAAAATTGAAAGCATATGCAACAGCAGAGAGAACAGCATGCTGGGCTCTCATATAGCCACCACTCTTGTTCCGCCAGGTGGACGTTTTAAGGCTCTTGATACATATTCACGTGTGAACAATGGAAAATGAAACCTGTTTCTGGTGGAATGAATCACTGTCTCATGTGGACTCTATAAAGCTGCTAATAAAACACTTTCAAAGACAGGATCAGGCTTGGATCTCATGATGATCAGGGAAAATGGTATAAGTTTCCTTATCTGTAAGGTAGAAATAGTGGTAGTGATGGTGATAATGAGGCTAAAACTCACACATGAGATCATTAACCTGAGACAGTTTTGTTGGTTATTATTGGAACCGAGGCTGAAAACCAAGGCTTCTGATTTTAAATTTGTATCTTAGTCTCCTCTATTATATTGTATGTTTTTAAAAATTGAGATCTATACATTGCATCTTTAATCCTGTGGCTGAAACAAGTATAGAAAGGCATCCTGGGGTGGGGGATGGCAAAGGGGGGGGGGGCCAAAAGGTACAAACTCCCAAATACAAAATAAGTAAGTCATGGGATCTAATGTGCAGCATGGTGACTGTAGTTACTATTGTATTGTGTACTTGAAGTTTGCTAAGAGTAGATCTTAAAAATTGTCAACACAAGAAAAAAAATTGTAACTATTTTTTGTATCATGATGGATGTTAACTCTTATTGTTGTGACCATTTCACAATATATACAAATCATCAAATCATTAAGTTATATACCTAAAAATAATGTAATGTTATATGCGATTTATATCTCAATAAAAAAAGCATACTGACTTGCTTAATATGAACCAGAATATTTTGCTTTACTTATAAAGTTGATAGTATCTGTTTTTGTAAACAAAAATACATTTTTACAATCCCTGCCCAGCTGGTGTGGCTCGGCGGATTGAGCGTGGTCCCGTGGACTGACAGTCCTGGTTCAATTCCCGGTCAGGGCACAGGCCCAGGTTGTGGGCTTCATCCCCAGTGCGGGGTGTGCAGGAGGCAGCCGATCGATGTTTCTCTCTCACATCGATGCTTCTCTCTCTCTCTCCCTTCTTCTCTCTCGAAAAAAAAGTCAATGAAAACAGATTAAAAAACAAACAAGAAACAATCCCTGGGGTGTCCTTGAACTTGTCTCTTATATAAATATACCCTTCATCCAAAATGCTCCCTTAACCTTGCCCAACTGAAAGTCTGAAGCATACATCATCTTGGGATGGCACAGTACACATTACTTTGTTCTTGCACGTGGCAAGTATGTTAGGACTTAATATATATTTGTACTTGAAGCAGGATTTTAAATGGTCATTTAGCAAGGATTTATCTGGCCTCTCTGTTAAAATATTTTTACACAGAGAGACATCATCAGCTTGTGTGAGTGCCTGAAGTTATGCGTCAAAGAAACGCTTGCTCGCTCTCCTGCATTAAGTTTCTTGTTCACTGAGCCCAAAGAAGTAGTAATCGGGTTAGTCCAGCAGCGGTTCTCACCCTGTGCCCAAGAACTAAAACGCGCAGCGCCGGGCTCGTTAGTCAGGGGCACTGGCCTCTTCTCCCTGAGACTGTCAAATAGAAAAATGGCAACAGCCAACACAATAGCCATTCGGTGTGAATGAAAAATCATACCTGTTTGTTTTTGTCAGATCGGCCAAAAAGATACATTTTGGTGTGCCGCAGGATGCCAGTAACCTGTGCGCACACGGGCGGAGAAGGGCTGGGCTCGCTGGTGTGCGGGGTTGTCTGGGAAGGGCGTGCTGGAGGACGCGCTGACTGGCAGTGTCCGGAACCCCAGCCCTGCCCCACGAGGAGCCCAGTGAAGCCCAGCTCGAAAGAAACAAGGCCTCCTGCTCCCCATCTTTCCAACAGAAACTATCTGCAGAGTGGCCTGGGCAGGACAGGAGTCCCTGGTGGCAAAGCCAAGACCACCTGGAGGGTTGTCATGGTCTGTGTGGCCGGGACTAAGGGCACCGGAGAGGGGTAGGTGTCCTAAGTGGCTCCTTGCTGCCTTTTTAAAAAATATTTTTAATTGGTTTTAGAGAGAGTGGAAGGAAGAGGGAGGGAAAGATAGAAACATCGATGAGAGAGGAACATCAACATCCATGTGTACCTCTTCCGGGATCAAGCCTGCACCCCGGGCATGTGCCCTGAGCGGGAATGGAACCAGTGATCTCTTGGTGGCAGGAGCCACACCGGCTGGGCAACATTGCTGCTTTTTAAGAATTCTTAACTATCTTTTCTTTTTCTAAGAGGGTCATATAATTTTACTTCCAGAATAACTTTCTGATTATTAAGGCATAAGTGGGACAGACTTTGTTATTCGGCACGAAAACTAAACTGGGAGCAGAGGGCTTGTGAGGGCCTGGTGTGACGTGTGTTCTTATCGACCACAAAGTGGTCTTCAGACTGGGGAAGCCCACTTTGTCTTGGTAGGAAGGAACTGGTGTGCTGACCTTTGTCAGTCGACTCCTTCTGTGATGGCCTTGAGTGAACCAAAGTGAGTACTTGTCCTCATGATTTGGAGTTGGGCCTGTGCCTTAGGAATTAGGAGGAGCTGAGTGTCGGTCGAGCCCCGGGTGTAGAAAATGCTGGAGATCAATGCAGCCCTCTTCTAATGGGGCTACGGTTGGGTTCTTCTCTGAGGTTGAAAGGCCTTTGGGATCACCTCCTCGCACTTATTTTATAGATGAAGAAACAGGCCGGCAGGTAAGTCTTTTCTTTCTCCCGCGGCCATCGTTCTAATGACCAGTTAGCTTGGATCTCCATCGGCCACCTTGAATCTGTGTCTTGACATCAACGAAGGAGGAAACCAGATCAGCTCCTGCTCTTCAAGGCTGAGTCTCGGTTGTCTCCTGAAGTGCAGTTATGGTTGCGGACGTTCGGTCCCCTTTGGAGGTGGAGAGAAAGCACAGAGAAAAAGGGCGTCGCCAGGCCGCGTGGACACGTGCACAGTGTTCAGGGAGCAAGGAGGACATCTCGTACTAGGAAGGTGGTGGAAGACGTGTCTTCCGAGGGCGCTGTGGAGCCAGAGTGAACAGAGCCCGAGAAGGAGGGATGGCAAAGTTTCCCTCAGGCCCAGGACTCAAGTTAAATACCCTGAGACACCTGCAGGTGAGCCCTGGTAGGGTATTTCACATTCTCTCCATGGTGTGTGTGTAATGTAATTAGGTTAGTGATGGGCTAGGAGAGAATATCTTAGAGTTTTTACCAAATTTCTGGCGATGCTCTTTTTAAGTACTGGTGTCATTATGACCAGGCCAAGAATTAGAGAAACTTTACTTAAGGAGGTTAGGGCAAGATCATCTTATTTCTCACACTGTCTAATTCATAGAAGGTGGTCAGCAAGTATTTAATTGAATTTGACAGTGTGGTGAAGTTGAAATATTGACAGGTGTGCAGGGTGGGGCAAAAGTACGTTTACAGTTGTGAGTACAAAACAGTTTATTCTTGTATTATTATTTATTAATTATTGTATTATTTTCCATTCGAACAACTGAAAACCTACTTTTGCCCCACCTGTATTACTAGAGCACGCGGTGTGTCTTGTTATTTTTTAAGAGAGAGGTTTATTTACAAGTCAAAGAGCATGCTTATCTCAGAGGTGCTGGTGAATGACTAGGGTGAGCTGAGAGAACAGTGGCTGGTAGGGAAAAGCCACACAGAGGAAGTGGCTTCCGTTGGAGACGTGAATGACGTACAGGATTGAG